ACAAGTATTAAAAAAGGGAGATTCATAAGCAAGTCGAGCAACTGCGTCAAGCTATAACAGAAGTTTTGAGAATTCAAGAGAAGGTCACGATGAGATGAGTCGTTTATCATCACGATAGGTGTCAAGTGGAAGTGCAATGATGTATGCAGCTACGACATCCCAACAGACTGGTAAACTTGAGATTTCAAAAAAGAAGTACCATTCGGAGTGCCTATTGAAGAATGAACCGACCACTCATAGGCAGTGGCTTGGTTAAGGGAATCCATCGGAGTCGTAGCCGAAAGCGAGTCAAAGAATCTACTATTTTTGTTATGATTTTAGTAGACTTCATCAAGAGACAAGCTAAAGACTTCAAAGATCTTCAATAAAGCCAAAGAGTCAAATACCTCAAATATTCTTCAACAAACTAAAAGTCGAATGTACCAATCTCCTTAATAGGAGAACAAATTCATTAACTTTCAAATAAAATTAATTTATATTGATTAGAGAATTACATATTAGAAGTCGCAACACTCATACATAAATACAAATCAAGTTCATTGAATTAGAGTTTCTGTTCCTATAAATTCTTCACAAATATAAGTTAAATTATATCACACATTAATGGTATTTTTTTATTATACTTTCATCGTTAAAACGTTTCATTTTAACTTTTTAAATTTCTAAATAGTCTAAATAAAATCTTTTATCAACTTTCTTATCAGATTAGATAATTTCAGACTTAATAATAACTCCACGACGAATACTATTATTTTTCTCCACTTTTTCTCCTACCAAAAATTAGAGCCTCCCTCTCACAATCAACGAAACTAGGGCCCATATGGCAGAGGCAGCAAGCAACAAAGATTTTAGCACGTGACCGTCATGCCCATAGAATATTAGCTTTTCTTTTTATTCTTTTTTTAATACTCAAAATCCAAGCACACGTTACTCCCATAGCCCTACTCCACATCTTTTTAAAAATAAAAATAAAAGAATATATATAACAAAAGCTTATATTATATTATTATTGTCATAACCACTTGTATTTATTATATGATTAAATTTAACTTCGATTTAATAACCTAAATTATCTAGAGGATTAGGGTTAATTAATAAACCATCGAAATTAAACACTACTACGATAGTATTTAGAAGCTAATAGAAAAAGTATGTTAGCCTCCTATAACCTATATATATGAATTTATCAAATAGTGTCCACTCATTTAAGATTTTTTTACTTTACAATTTTTTTTTTAAAATTTTTGTGGTATCCATTGATGTGATTAGTCAAATTGAAAAGGTTAGAATTTATTCAATTTATAGAAAATTAATGAAGTAATGGAGAAGTCATTGAAATGAAACGTTATTCTCAACCAAAAGATTTATATCAGTTAGAATAAAACTGAGGTCTATCACCCGGTCATTTCTTTCATATAATTAACAAGTCTTTAATTATTTGATTTTCAAGATCGTTGATACTCGTAAGACTATAGCTAATGACATTTTTTGTTTGTTTGTTACCTACTCCCAAAATATGATAGTGTCACTTTTATTGCTACTTGTTGTGGGGTGTTTTTTTTTTTTTTTTTTTATATATATATAATAGATAGATAAATAATAGCTTAGTGTCACTTTTATTGCTACTTGTTGTGGGGTGTTTTTTTTTATTTTTATATATATATAATAGATAGATAAATAATAGCTTGTATCATGTGAGTCATACGCCTATCCGTTAAAAGTTCTAAAATATTTTATATGAAAAGTATTTTCATAAACAAATTTAATATTATTACGTGTGATTAAAAAGAGCTGAACGGCCAAATCAAAGTCGATCGATTGATTTGATGGGAGTCACGGTCGGTTCGACCAGTCGGTCAATAATTGATTTCAGCCGACCAATGTTCATCCCTAGATATCATCATTCATATCGATGAAAATATTTTGTTCCAAACATCAAAATATAATTCCAATTATTTTTAGGGCATCAAAAGATTTAGTAATTTAAGAGTGATTTTGAAAATTTTATAGTAAAATATAAAATAAGCACAAAACAGGCATATATTTTATATCAAGTATATATATCGATTATTAATAATAGTAAAAGATTGGTAACATATATGAAATTATTCTATTTACGTTTTATCATCATCAAACTATTATTAAGAATTATTATATTATTTTTATCATTCACTTTGATTAAGAAAAATAACCGTAGTTGCTATGTTCACTGCATAATAAATATCGGTAGCACTTAAATCCAAATTAATATTCTGCCTCAACCTCTACGAATCTTTTCTTTCACATTTCATATCGGATTTGAACTTCTAACCTCATCTTGAATCGAAAGGACAAAAGGCACCTATTAAGTCAAATTATAACGAATTTTGAGTTTGAAGAGGAGGTCGATGGTACAAATTCTACAAAAGTGAGAAAAACTTATAAAAATAGGACATTAGCCAAAATCTAAGAAACCATTAATATCTCGTTGGATAATAGATTTTGAAAAGTAACATAGTAGGATATATAATGAAATGTTGAGACCATAGATATTGCCATAGTTGGTTTAAGATGTAGGTAAATGAGGCGATCGCCTAAGGCCCAATCTAGAAAACCTCATATCTTTCTTATAATATATATATATATATATATATATATATATATATATATTATAATGTTGTTGTCTGAGGGTTGGTCGCGGTTCATTGGTGTACTTACACACTAGGCTACCCTTCTCCGAAAGCTCCATGGGACCACCTACCACTAGTCTTCGACCGAAGGGGTTT